GGGCCTGCAGGGAGGGCTGGGGGAGGCCCGGGGGGCTGCGGTGCCGGTGAGTGGCCCCTCTGAGTGATCCCCCGCTGTCTCTGCAGGTACATCACGTGTGCGGAGTATACGCAGTTCTACGGGGGCAAGAAAGCAGGTAAAGGGGTGGTGGGTGCCCCCCGAACTGACTGGAGTGGGGTCAGCGAATTCGGGGTGGCTGCTGAAGTGAGCAGGGCGTGCCTCGGGTTCTGCAGGGGGTCTGGGCTCTTCTGAACCCCGGGGCTGTGCAGCTGGAGGTCCTGACGTGGGTGGTGCTAATGGCAACGGCAGAACCAGAGAATCATAGACTCGCTGACTGGTTTGGGTTGGAATCACAGAATCACAGACTGGTTTGGGTTAGAAGGGATCTTAAAGATCATCTAAATCTGCCCCATTTGCATAGGCAGGGACACCTCCCACTAGACCAGATTGATCAAAGTCCCATCCAACCAGGCCTTGAACACTTCTAGGGATGGGGTTTCCACAGCAAGAAACAGGTGGTTTAACAGCCAGATGATCCGTGCCTGCCTTCAAGTCCTGTACCCATGAGTAGGGCTGGTGGCTACAGTGTTAATTATCAGCTTTACAGTCAGTGCTGTCAGTCTGTCAGACCTGTTTTGACTTTTTTTCTGATTATTTAATTTCAGTTGAGACCATTCTTGTGCTCTGCAGAACCCTGGTTTTAGTTAGTTTTGCAAGGTCTGCTGTATCCTTGTCATCAGTAAATTTGTCACAATCTGTGTACCAAAAGGAACTTTCAAATGTTTGTCACCTAGAATACTATATATTTATTAAAGTCCTGTTGTTTGGGTTTGTTTTTTTTCCATAAACAGACCTTCCAAGAACTAATTTTAGACGTTTGTCATTTGATCACTGCAGGTAAGACAACAGATTTACGTTATCATTATTAAATGACCCATCAGTCTGTTGATGGTGAACTATTACAGAAGCCATGTTCCTCTGAGGAAGTTACTTTCATTGACTTGTGCCTGCTGTGATAGTAATGCAGCAAGAAAAAATTCAGTAAGAGCAGAAGCAGCAGTTACACCTTCCATTATTGATGTCTACAGAGTTGAATCTGATGGCTAAACTAAATGAAAAAGTAATTTAGAGCAATTATTGCTTACATTCTAGTCCTTCAAGTCTGTGTAATCCAGGCTTGAAACCACTTTTCCATGGTCAGAATATGCTTGGTCAACCATTCGTCTTTCTGAGGCAGTGATTAGATAGACTGAAGCAATATTTATGCTAATTTATTGTATTTATAGTTTACTACCTGAAGTGCTAGAGTGAAATAAGTGAGTTGGTAGAGGTGGGTTACAAATCCTCATGTAAATCAAGTAGTTCAGGAAGTTAATATCCACTCCTACAGCTGCTGCTGCCTGGATAAAAGCTGAGTGGGTATGGAAGCATCCCTGCTCCTTTGCCCATTTCAGTGCAAAGACAGTGAGTATTTCTGCTTGAACTGTCTTTTGTGCTGTTGGGGCCAGACATGGTAATGAGAGGTGTTGCAGCAGATGCCCCTGGGGCTGTGAGTGCTGGCAGCTACAAGTGACTGGACTGCAGCAGTTCCATTCACATATTTTGTTGTTAACCTAACTTAGGTAGAATCAGGTAGTGGAGATCGGCAGCCACTCAGTGTTTTCATTGGTATAGACCTTGCTTTAATGTGTAAGTGAATCAACAAAACAGTATTTGCTTCTGTCATCATGATTTCCAGGTGATTTTGCTAAAGGGAGTTTGTGCTTTTTCTTCTAGTTTGTCTCTGCAGCCATTTGAGTACCCAGTTTGCACACCAGATGGGACAGTCTTTGATATACTGTAAGTTACTGTCTGTACTTTACTTTTGTGTTGCTCAGCTGCTCAGTTACAGCTGTGTAGCCATCATTTGGTCTTAGCAGTTTGAAAAAATACTCATGCCCATTAAAAGAACAGATTTCTGATATCCCTTCTATTTTCAGGAGCATTGTTCCTTGGATAAAGAAATACGGAACAAATCCAATCACAGGAGAGGTAAGTAATGATGGGTGCACTCACATGGAATGCTTCTCTTATGTTCATTTTCCTGTTTAATATGTGGGAGAAACAAAAATGCCTAAATAAAAGCCAAAGCAGTTGAATGGGAGTGCTTTTATGAGATCAGCTTTCTACACTGAAATTAGTGTAGAGATTTATTAGGGATCTCCTTTTAGCTTATAAAAAAAAAAAAAAAGGGCTTCTAGACTTGAAACCTGCTGTCTCCTCACTGTGATCCTGCTAATGGTCTTTGTGGTAGAAAATAATTAGCCTCAGACTGTGTGTGGAAGAAAGAGAAAAGCATTATATTTTAATTTTTTTTTTTTTTTTTACATTGAATTGTAAATAATATGGCAGAGGAAATATGCTGTTCATTTATATAAAATCCCAAGATTTCTTGCCTTTCTTACAGACATGGCATAATTAAAATCTGTGTAGATGGAACTACAAGCTCTTTTGTTACTGCTAGTGATGCCCAGAAAGCCTGGCTGGTCAGTGCTGGGAAGGACTTTGTGCTGCTGCCTCATGTGAGCAGAACTGTGGGCTGGCAAGCTCACCTCTCCATCTGTGGTTAAACTTGGAAGTTTTCTAACCAAGGTGTATTTGGCTATATGCAGATTAGAGATTAATAGGTGATATTATGAATGGTAAGCTTAAACTGAAAAATCTTTTAAGTTATCTGGACAATAGATTTCAGAAAGCTTCTGACCTGCCTCTGTCGTGATAGTTCAATGTGAGACTGGGATTTCACACTTATGATCAGCTCCTCTTTGAGTGGTTTTTCCCCACCCTTTTTTTATTTTTCCTCCATAAATACTGATTGTGAAGGGATACTTTCTGTAGTAGTGTGGAGTTGTAAAGCACCAGATAAATATGAAATACTGGAAATATTTAATTGTTGGAATTATTTTTTTCTGGTGTGTTAGAAGGGAATGCATTGTTTGTGAAGGCAGAGAGGAAAAGTTTCAGCTGAAGTCATCTACTGAACGTTGTCTTAGCCTTCAGTAAGTGCAGTTACTTTCCCGAGCATTAGGTGGCAGGCAATGCACAGGATTGTTGCTTGGCTTGCAGATGGCTTTGTGGGATGAGATTACCTTTGAAACATCTTGTGTTTGATTAAAGATGTTCCCAGAGAGAGATACGAGGAGAAACTAAATACAGATGCAGCATTCCAGACTCTGAGCACGAGCTGAGTCTGAGACTCACTATCCCCATCATAGCAAACTACAGGTGTGTTTGTGTGGTGGAGAGATGATTGAAGGTCTTTCTTCAAACGTGAACAGGCCAATATATTGTTGAGAAGGAATGGAATTACAGTTATTTCATTTGTTTTCCCCACCCTCCCACCACCTTCCTGCTCTGTGCATTTGTTGGGAGCTTTGGGGTGCTGCCAGGTGATTTTTTTTTTCACTCAGAGCAGCTCCATGACACCTGTTCTCATTTCAGACTGTGAAGCGTGATGTGGTTTAAAATTACTGTGGGTAAATGCTAAGCAAGAAGTGTAACGTGCCTGGCAGTGTAACGCTGTAACGTGTCTCTTGTGTAACACAGAGAAGGGAGATTGTGCAGAAGATACTTGGTGGAACATAAATGCTCAAATAGTCTGAGATCTATTTGTTTACCCAGACTTGTGCTTCTGTAGTTGATCTGCAGTGTACCTCCAGCTCTTCTCAACATGCATCCCATTTTCCTCTGTGTTGCTATGTTTAGGGAGCTTTTTTTCTTCCCTTGTATTCAGAGTGGGGCTAGTGCTGAACATCTCTGTCCTCCACGGGACAAAGGCGTTCAGACCGGTTGGAAGAAAAAGGAGATGCTTGCTCTCTAGAACAGCACACAGCCCTGCTGAATCCATCCCTGCAGAATTATTAACTTGAAGAGTGGGGTTGAAGGAAATGTTGTAGTTTAGCCTTTGTTTCCCAGAGGACTAGCTCTGCTTTACAGAAGGGAAAGATGGTGTTTAGCAGGAAGGGGGTGCTGGCACAGGGCAGAGTAACTGGCATAGGAAGTGAATGAGTTGAGCTTTGCCATCTCTAGACTGTACTGCCCTCTGTTTAACCTGTCTTTGTGTGTGTACCCTCTGTTACTTGTACAGCTTGCTCATTGTGGAAACTAGAAAATATTTTCTCTAATGAGTTGGTGACTTAATAGGACTCAGAGTTTGTTTAAAGAGGACTTGAGCCAGATTTGCTGCACTGCCATGTTTTGTATGGGGACTTGTGAAGTAACTTTGCAGAGATTGATGATTTGTCATTGGTGATGAGGCTCTGGAGAATTTTTCCTTTTTTTTTTTTTCCTAAAGTTAAAAATTATAATGAAATCCTTTGTGGCTTGTCCTTCTGTATTTATGATTTGCAACAGGCCAAATGTTTTGGAGAAGTCAATAGGCTACTTGGAAGCAGAGTTGTTAATGGTGCATTCCTGGTACTAACTAATTCTGTCTAGCTGTCTTGTTTCTGAAGTGGGCTCCTCAGTGGAGAATTGGAGAGCCTTGCAATCATTAATGTATTTATCTCCACAGTGCTCCCAGAGGGTAGCACTGTGCTAGTCCTGTATTAATTGGATGTTTGTGAACTGACCTACAAGTGACTTCTCAGATTTTTCTGAGTCTCAAACTATAGGACCAGCCTTCCTTTTTAAATACATTTTGCAATGCCAAGATGACAGTTATTCTTACATATATTTTATTTATTTATTTATACTTTCCTTCCTTATACTTCCTAACGGTTTATTTTTCCTTGCTTTTTCAAATGTTCCCCTGAGGTGCAGTCCATTTAGGAGAAAAAAGTCACCTTTGTCTTTTGTCTAGACTTTTCCATGAGCTATTCCAGAAAGTAGCCTTGAATTATTTTTTCTCCTTTTTAATAATGCTTTGCTGTAAAAAATGCTTCTGTTACTACACCAATAATCTTGGAAGAAACTGTGAATCTCTTGCAGCTGAGTTACAGCCTGTCAGATGGCATTGGCTCATTTAATTTTTTTTTCAGCTTTGTCAGGACACTGCCCTAGCTTATGTTTACATGAAAATTGCATAAAATAGAGGGAATAGAGTCATAGTTAGCTCATTCCTTTTTACTGAGAACAGTACTTTGGCTTCTTGGGCTTGAAGATAGTTGCAAGCTTGCCAGAACATTTCATGTAGCAGTGATATGACAGCAGTGACCAGCATGCCCACACAAGTCAGCCAGCTGGGCTCAGGACTACCTGTTTCCAAGAAATGAGATTGGTCACAGCATGTCTGGTTTGTTGGAATCTCAAATATGAACAGATGATAGATCTGCATGAAGGTAGCAGAGTGCCTTTTGACAGGAATTTCAAGGAATTCCATTCTTTGCTGCATGGATATGTTATATGTAGGCTGAGCTATTTTTCTCCTTTGCACTGTGATGTTTCTGATATAGATACCTATTTTTTTCACTCCGGTTTGGTAGCATTCTAACTGCATGTGGGCAGGCCAGACTATCGTGGTGTACTTCAGCTCTGTTCAAGACTGGCTCTGTATCCTTGGGCAAATATCTCTCCCCTTGTCCCAGAAATAGCTATGGTGTTTTGTCCCTTGTTCCCCCTTTTCTCTGGGAATTTGGTTCTTCTGGGCAGTTGAAAGTTGATTCATCTCTAGTGTTTGCTTCTAAGGCTTTAGTCCAAAGTCTATTTTGTGAGTGTTTTAAGTGCATTTGTTTTAAAACTGGTACAGAGGGTTCTTGTGAGAATTGTCTCTGCATTTTTCAGAGCAAACTAAAACCCATGTCTCTGCTGATCCTGCAGAGCCCAGAGAGGCAACCCTAGTGTTGGGGGCCACGTGCAGCTGTTGCATCTGTCTGCCTTGAAGGGCTAACAGGATTCAGTTGAGTTCATTTAGCTTGGGTTTAAGTTATGTCTGAGAGACCTGAGGATGCGTGGTGGATGTACGAGAGTAGGAGTCACATTTCTGTTGTGCCCTGTCTCATGCAAGGTTAGGATCTAGACCTACAGACCAGAGAGAGCTTTTTCCTAAGTGCTTCTTACTCGGCTAAATAGGAAAATTTTTATACATTGTGAGGATTTTTTTGAGGTTGGGAAAGCCTTTTGCTTGAGCTGCCTTTGAAGATAACTGCATAAAGGAGACTGGGGCATATAAAGAAGCTGTAAAAGGCACAGCCACTACATGGAAAATGAGGACTTAACTTTGGAGTTGACAGGCTGAAAATTGCTGGGTTTTCCAAGTAGGACCATCTGTCTTCTTAAAAGAGAGTGTTGTACCCAAAGTTTTGCTCTGTGTACAAGATAAATATTTGCTATTGTTCTTCCACACTCTTAATCCTGTATTTACCAAATAAAAATAACTTGAGGTGAGGTTATGACTACTATGATCAAATAATTGTGGTGGTACAGCTGCCTTCCTCATACAGTAAGCCTGTCTGATCCATGCTTTGGAAGCACCCAGAGAACTCACATCTTGTACCTGTGATGCCCTGCAGCAATAACAGAGCCTTTAGTGGACACCTGCTCCCTCCAGCACTGCTCACTTAGGAATGTAAGCAGTGCCCATTTTCTAATTGTTTAATTGAAATAAGGTTGGTAGAATAATTCTTGGCTGAATAATGACAGGCACTTTCAAAGTCAGTTAACTCTTCACACTAAAAAAGAAAAATTGCACTAAAGTCTGTAATTTCAGAACTTTGGAAAGTCATTCTTAAATACATTTCTTACATACATTTGTCAGCTAATTCTTCTACCTAATGCTGGTGACAATAGTTACTTCATTTGATTGTGAAAACATGATTCCTTTTCAATTTAATTAACTAGATTTCAGTCAGTCTCACAGAAATCAGTTGCTGGTCTTGCAGTGAGAGAAGCTTGCTGACCAGGTTAATGGAGAGGATATGGAGATGATTACTTTTTTTTACCACTGAATTTATTAATCCCACTTTATAAACAAACAGCACATTTTTACGCACTAAAAAAGTCTTTAGCTGTCTAAATAAGGGAAATCCTGCCTGAAAAGGATGCAGAAATTAGAG